GAAAGGGACACTGTGAGGGAGTCAGGGCACAAGCTCATGGGTGCCTAAATGAAGCCCTGCTAGCTAAAACAGCATGTTTCCCTTGCAATTTCTCAAGCAGGTAGCTTACCACACATGACGTTGTAAAGTTCAATATTTTCAAAAGGAGGTACTTTGGTCTTGTATTTGAATGTAGGACCATAACCTATAAAGACAGTCTTTTTTTTTTTTTTTTAAAAAAAAAAAAAAAAAGAGAGAGAGAGAGAGAGAATACAAAGAAGAGCATTAAAAGGTATGGGGTTTTTTTCAGTGAATATTTACATTTTAGAGACCTCCAATTTCTTCTTTCAATGACCCTCCCACAAAGTTTACTGCACTGCTCATACCTGCATGCTGTTGATCTTGTTGTCATAGCCATGGTCTCCATGGAAGAAACACTTTCCTGTTGGTTTCTTGTAAACATCCACAGCTTTCCTAAATTTAAAAAGTATAAGAAAATTTCCTCAAAGGTGTAGGTATGGTAGTTAACCTGACAATGTGCTTTGGAGGTAGGAGGGTTAAGGTTACAAAGCAGTGCATTGCTCATCTTTCTTGAATAGCAGTAGTGGGGATGGCAGGCTCATCCAGCAACCCCAGGGATTTTCCCTATGTTTCCACTATAAGAGAGTATAAACCTAAGAGCCAACTCTTACTCACTGATAACTACCTTAGCACCTATTTACTTATTTTCTCAGACTTTCCCATATCACATCATTTCCTACAGACTGGAGGTATTTGGAGGTATTCTTCCAGTTTTCAAAAGACCAACAGAGGCTTCTAAGAAAGCATTTTTGTAATGTTACAGTGCTGCAAATGTCGTACAATGCTGTAAAGTGCTTCTGCCTGTTTGCCTTCCACTCAATAGACAAAAATGGGGAGCAGAAATGAAGCTGGGGGAAAAAGAGAAGGAATGTAATAAAGATAAATAGCTGAGAAAATAAGTGTTGCATCTTAGGAATGCTAATTATCAGCTTGTTCCTGAGTAACTTTTTTAGAAAATATGTGGAAAAATAAGTATTGTGTCACAGGAATTATATTACCATCTTGTCCCAGAGTACTTTTCTACAGTTTTATGAGGGCCATATGCAGGCAATGCATTCAGTAGACCAGAATATCCTACAAGTTAATGTCTTCATCTGGAATAAAGTGATGCTCAGCCAAAGTTTGATCTTGGCCTTGTAAATTACTAGAGTTTCCGAAATCAGGTCTATAACTACCATTTTCCTGGCTGTGAATATACAATGAATTACAGTTGCATTAACAAATGGATTATTGATGAATGAGATTTCAGGAAATCTAATTAATATATAAGCCAAAGAAAGTCTGATGTAATTAATAAGAAATTACTAAATCTAAGTAAGTTGATTTAGATTTGGGCCATTTCATCAATTCCAGTAAAATTCTTAAAACTAAAACTTTTATAGGCCTAAACTTAAAGTGTCATTCTTTGAAATGGACATGAACCCTAGCCACAGAAACTGTACAGGGCAACCAGTCAGCCAGCTAGTGGAGTTATGCAAGAAAGCAATTGGGGTTTCTCACTCACTGCTTCAGCAGAATGATCCTTGCATGATTCACAGAAAGATAAGCAGAGATGTCAAAATACTTTTTCAACACACTGTGTGTTTGCCTGGCAGCTATACGGGCAAAAACCCTACCATAATTTAAAGCTCATACCAGACTACCATGAGCCAAAAGCTGTGTCATCTTCCAAGAACCACTGAGTCAGCTTTATGCATAAAGACCCAGCCGTTCTCATACTGTAATACACAACATGTGTCAAAAGAGCAAAGCAAGAAAAAGCATATATATTAAACCAGAAAGGCGTGCACAGTTCATAAACAAAGGTTACTCCTCTCCTGTTCACTCTATACATATATGTGCCAACTTGGTTTTCCTCACTCAATTTTTAGTTAAGAATATTAAAAATTGCCCATATTTTATAACTGAAAATTCAGAGGCATATGGGGAAGAACAACCCAAAACGGGGCTTTCTCCGAACATCCTGGTTTTCTGTGGATTTGTTTTGCAACACAACATGCACTTTGATGACCTCCCTGACATGTCCTTCCACATGTTCTCACGCATTCACCCACTCTGCCAATATCTTCATTTTCTTTCCATTTGTCCATTGCATCCATTCAGCCTCTTGATTCCTAACATCCCCTGGTCACATATGCCTTCCCTGTTCTCCCATATTCCCTGCATCCTGATTGGAATAAGCTTGCACCTCATTAAAAAACTTACAGAATCATAGAATGGTTTGGGTTGGAAGGGACCTTTAAAGGTCATCTAGTTCAACCTCCCTTCAGTGAGTAGGGACATCTTGAACTAGATCAGATTACTCAGAGCCCCATCCAATGTGACCTTGAATGTTTCCAGGGATGGGGCTTCCACCTGCTCTCTGGGCAACATGTTCCAGTGTTTCACCACCCTCAGTGTAAAAAATTTCCTCCTTACATCTAGTCTAAATCTACCCTCTTTTAGTTTACAACCATTACCCCAATGGTTATCAGCTCCTATACTTTCATTTATTGGTCAAAAACCACACAGCTGCTTGAGGAAACCAGTGTGGGTTTCTACCCTGTATCCAGCTGCTGATTTTCCCAAACTTTGAAACAATTTTCTGAGCCACATCCCCTGGCACCAAATGTGATTGAACCTCACCAGGAGTTCAAAGCCCATCTTGGTCCTGGGATGCTGATAGACAGGGCAATCCCAGATGTCTCATTTCCTCAGAAAAAAAGGCTGAAAGTCAGGATGGAAGCAAAAGCAAGAGTTTACCTTGCCACATGCCATTTGCGATCCACCAGTAAATGGACATCCTCAATTCTTCGGTTGTAAGCATAGTGCAAGCGTTTAGGCAGGTGCTGTTTCAAGTACGGCTTGAAGTGCTGGTCTGGCTTTCTACACTGAAAAATAAATGGTTACAAATGACAGTGCTCTCTGTTAGCGTAGACGCACATAAAACCTTGAACTACAGAAATCAAGCTGTTAAGGTCATTATTGATGATGACTTGAAAACAAAGTGTACATGTAGAGTACTCGGTCCAGCCCTTTCTGTGCAGTATTTACGTAAGACCAGGGCCCAGGGAGTCATTCAAAAATGTATTTGGAAAGCTTCATTCTCATGACAGTCTTTTTGAAAGCATCATGGACAACAAAACACTTGCTTAGCTCACAGATTAAGAATTTTATTCTAACTGGACCAAAGTTTAAGTTTCAGAGGAAAGTTGAATGCTCAAAATACATCTCATCTGCAGATATATTTAAAGCTATCTGGTTACAAAATTTGATTTTTTTTCTTTGTAATCAGCTTTTATTGTAAACACTTTTTTTTCCATTAAAAGCAAGGTTATAGTTGAAGGCTATCAAATGAAATTTTTCAGCATCTTCAAAGTGCTAGTAAAATATTTACTCTAAAAGATTACTTTCCATTTCTGAAGGAACGAATAAATAGACTCAATTCAGGGAGTCAAGACAGTCAGGGAGATTCTGGCTGTGCATTGCCCAAAAAGGTTATAAAAGCTATTACAGCAGCAAACAGTGGAATTTATGACAAACATTAATCTGTACTCATGAAGGGCACCATTTAACACTCCTTATTCATGTTAATGGTTGGTTTTCCTGCCTAAAGAGTAAGGAGAGAATGCTGAATAATCCTACAAATTACGATGTGAAGTGAGCAGTGCAGTATAGACAGAGATACCTCCCAGTCCTAAATACTTACTGTAAGGTTGGCAACAATCACTTTAGGGTCATCTGTTAAGCAAAGAAAAAAAAAAGAAAAAGACAAAAATATAAAAGATTAACTATTTGCAGAAGAAAACACAAGGTAATAATGTAGTTCTACAGAAGTGTTCTTCCTAGAAGCTGGCTGATCTTTACTAAAAGTACAGTGTATATAATCAGAAAAGATATCCTGAATATGAACTAAAGTTTAACTGTATACACTTTACTTAGTGATATTTTAGTTGCTTAAGTGATGTTGCTCACTGTTTTATGATTTGGACCTTAGGTTAATATTTATTTTCTTTTCTGAAAACATATAATTTCAAGTCTTTTGACTACTTTAAAGTAAAAAAATCACCCTCAAACACAAGGGTGTTAAAAAGCATATACAAATGCAACAATGCACTTCCTTAGAAGCAGTAAAATAAATATACAGCATTCTTTGTCTCTTCTGACATTTTATGTATTTCATAGGCTACTACAGATTAAGTGAAAAGCTACAGTAAAATATTCTAGATATATCTTTGGACTACTCAAGGGATATGCGAGATGTAGAAAGCCCCAAACCCAAACCAGCAACGGTCCACACTAACTCTGTCTCCTTCCAGGGGCAGGGGGAAGCATTTTTCAGTCCTGAGAGAAAAAGCAGGCTAAGACAAAAATCTTAGGAAATGAAAATCTCTTGTTTAACTATTACTGTTTTAGTTGCTTAAGGCATGTTCTGGCTGAGTTTGAAATGACCTCTACTCAAAACACAAGCTACAGGCTTAGCCACTGCAAAGATGAGTTTGAAGGCCTTGAAGCAGTTTTATCAATAGGAAAATGGAGGAGGAATAAAAAAATCTGGTAATTTGCCATTTAAGGGGGCAAATCCCCATTCTAAAACTAAGGAATAAGGAATATGCTTCTTTGTTCTATGTTCAAACTGCTGATTTATAAGCAATTGCAAATATTCAAACTAGGAAGCTGTGGACAGAGGCCAAAAGGGGAAAATGGTATTGCGGGAACACCAGTAGTATGACTCAGAGGTCAGTCAGACTAGCTGGTCTTTTTGGAAGATATTGCCTTTTGTCATCCAAAGAAAACTAATTTTTTTCTCAGCAATTTGAGAATTCAAGGATTAAAAGACCTAAAAAAAAAAATAGTCTCAGAAGAACTGAAATATAAGTTTGCAGTAGACTGCGAAGTGCAGGAATTCAGTCTTTATGGTAGTCTAGTAAGTTGTATCAATGTATGCCCTACTTTCAACCGATCTTGACACACTCATCTTATATTCCTACAGCATAAATACACAGGCAAATTAGTTTATAGTAAAATAAATACAGAAATAAATGAGTTTCTAAGAAAGTTTATCACATTCTGCTTCCCATCTGTTCCAAAAGTATGAAGAATCTACTGAATTCAAATTAACAATTCACTTTTTTTTCCATTAGCTCAGGAAAGATACCAAATACTTTTTTTAATATACAATTTGTAAAGTGCTGAGCTCCCTCAAGTCTCATTTTCGTTGATAGAGGGGAGAAGGGTGTGAACAAACTCATGACATGTATGCTGCCAATGTGGAACTATCTTCAAGAGTTTCCACTTCTTGCAATAAAAAGGTGGGTTTCAACCCAGAACATTTCAGCAATCCACTTGACACAGCTCTGCTGCTGTGGGATCTGTAAGCTACGAACTGGGAAGGAAGCGAGCAGCTGGTCTTTAGTGGGCTTCCCTCTGAAAGTCCCACTGACACACTGCGAACTTACACCCTTCATACATCAGTCCAAGGAAGGGATGGAGTCTAATTCTCCGGACACAAGAGGTACAATTAAATTAACTTACATTTTAGGTTACTGCTAGACCTAGGTCGAATTCGCCCTAAAGATCCAGGCAGCAAAATTATATCTTCCACATTAGTCAGATAGTTGCTTAAAAATTCAGTTCTTTCACAAGTAGTATCTTCCATCCCTGCAGAAGGAAAATGCAAAATTAATCCAGCTTGAAAATAAACCTATTTTCCAAAACAGCACAGGAAGAGCCCCCAAACAGCCTATGGATTCTTTTCTCTCGGATGACTAATCTTATTCTTGTTCTTTCCAGTCATCTAATTCGATCATCAGACACTGGTAAGAGCCAAACTAGAGGTGATTTTAACACTTGCCTACACGAGAGAAATACCAGTCTTAATGTCGTAGAAACAGTCACCACATATACCATGTGTGCACTGACACATCTCCAAAGTAAGCTCATGGAAAAATCAAAGTCTGTTTCTAGTTTAGTGTACTACTTTGGGGATTATTTTCTTTAAACAAAGGATTTAAAGAGAAGTCACACACAAAAGGTATTGCCTGTTGGTGGTCTGTTCTGAGGCAGCCGCAGATAAACAATTCTTTGCTACAGCCATTTGTGGTGGGGAGGAATGTATTGCCAGTCACAGGCAGTTCTCAGCACAAAACTGCCTCCCCTGGAAATCCTTCCTGCCCCTTACCCTTCCATCCCCACAGCTGGAAAGGAGGCATGTTCCATTTCATTGCTAATGTAGCTACTCCTGTGAGACTTTCATAAACAAAGATTGCTAAAATGTTGTGCAAAACCAGGTTTATGGTCACATTTTTCTTTAACAAAACTTTATTTTTCTTTTTGTCTTTGCTAGTACTCACTATTTACTCTATTGTAAAGTTTTTCCTGATGTCTGAAAGAATGAGACCTACCAAATAATATCTGCTTTTGGGTGACTCTCCATCTGATCCTGAAATATCTTGTCACTGTTTTCCTTCTTCCTCCATTATTTTGATTACATTTTCCATCCAAGCTGGACACAGTCCCTTAACAGATATTCCAGTCTTTCTCCCAGTAGGATAACTTGACCCACTAATTGCCATGGAAATGTCTTGCTCTAAAGTCCTATTCCTCTCTTCATGAAAAAGAGAACAGCGCTACTAAACCATTTCCTTCCATAAAAACTACCATAATTATTACTTTAGGCACATTACAACTTCCCAATACATGCAAGGAGAGCTGCACTTGGATGTCATATCAAAAATGTCAAGTTTTGAAAAACTCTAGGTGAAGATGTAAATACCCAGATCACAGTTATGAAAGAGAAATGTCTTCCAATGACAGTTAACAGGTGAGCTGAGTGGCCAGTCTACACTGACTGGCTGCATTCGTGGATTTAAACTACCAGAAAAAATCAGCACAAAAGTGTATTCAATGGAACCTTCATTTAAGCCACCTATTATACATACAGCAACATTGCGCAAGCACTTATAGGCTGATAAAGAATACTGGGGTTTTTACCATGATCACCAACAAAGATGACATTGACACATCGATGAAGTTTCAACTGTTTCAGTCCATCCATTAGTTGTCCTACTGTCTTGTCAATCTCTCTCAGGGGATTCACCATCATCTGTATAAATATGCAGAAAGGAAAAAGTTAATTCTATCACTGCAATGTTCTCAATTCCTCTGCAACTGGAGGTCCTTTGGCAAAACTCTGGTAGGATAACCATCCAGGTCAAGAGGCAAAGCCTTGGCTGAGCTGTTACACCTACAGTTATAATACCATTTCCTTTCCTATATCCACACTGTGACTTCATCACAAGAAAGCCCTGTTGAGATGTTGACACAAGACAGTAGATGGTCTTTATGGCTGATCCTAGGCCTCCCATGGACACGTGTACATTTGGTAAAACAAAATATAGATAGTAGAAAAACACAAGTTTCAGTTTGTTATAGATAAATAACAGTACTTTTTAGAGGCTATTTTATGTGAATGTTTTAGTCAAAGCATGAATATGAAATGAAGCTTTGGATTTGGGATTTATATGCCAAGTCACTTAATGAAATTCACTTCAAAGGACATCTGATACCAGGATGACAACATGCAAGTCACTTGAGTAGCACGTGTGACTCGGAGGGAGCGTTCTTCAGCTTCAAAGCCAAAAGTTACCAATATCTCAAGTGACAGTTTTGGCAAAACTGTCAGCAGGCCCAGAAGACATTTCTTCATTTATGTTTCTTTTTTATTAAGAAACAAAACAGAAAACACCAAGACGTTCACAGGATTGTGCTTTCAGCTCTAAGAAAATGAAACATTTTTTACCAGATGGCACAGAGAAGAGAAAGATTTTAAAGTAAGATTTTAGGCAGAAGACTCAGATTTTGTTTTCATTTTGAGAAGAAAACATTTCTTGTCACTATATGCCAACCTCCTCCTTGTTTGTCTGTTTGATTTGGCTGGTCCAAGTATCCACACCAAAATATTCTCCCAGTCACAAACAGAATGCTAACAAATTTTGGATGAGAAAAAAATAGATTTTGGCAGAATTTTCTGAGAAGAAAAAATAAACACTGCATTAGTGTGACCCAGAAAGACATGGTTCAGAAATTCTCCCTGTGCCTGAGTCTTTAAGGAATGGATGTTAAATGAGCCTGGTAGGCTATAAGAAAAGACAGGAAATTTCATCTCCCATGTGGCACTTTAAATACATAGAGAAGCAGTCACAAGAAATGGCATCACAGTGGGGAACAGAAAGAAGAGTTTCTGCAACATATGGAAGTGGTTCAGGCAAAAGGTAAAATTTTGAAACGTTTTAATTCAGGAAAGCCTAGGTAGTCAGTTTAGTTAAAACTTTGAAAATCTTGATTTCACAAAAAAAAGAGGAAAAATGTCTGTCTGTTTTGTCTGTTTCAGCATTCTTCCACTCTCAAGTAGGAAAAATTTCTCAATGAATGCAAATTCCATTTTTCCAAAACTCTATTTCTATAACATCAATTATATAAGGAAATACAACTTTTACTCAGAATCCAAAGCTTATTCAAGGAAGCTGGAAATCCAGATGGATTTCCCATTAATGTTTACTTTTGTCAGTAGGCTTGAAGCTTCTTAAAAAAAACCAAAAACAAAACCCCCTATACTTCCAGAAATGTCAAGGATTCATGAGTGATGACAATTATTTTGTTTAGCTACTCTCTTCACCATTATTTAATCTGTAAGCTTGCAGACACTTTTCTGAAACTGTAAGAAAGTTAATATAGATTAAGAATCCTATTTTTAAAAGAAACAAAACACTAACAGAGAAAACCACAAAAAACCCCTTCAACTTTGCAGTTTTCACTACCTGGCCATGTTCAAAGCGGTTCTGAGAAAGGTCCTCACCAATATTTCTTCCTCTCATTGCGTTCTGTCTCTCTTTAATTTTTAAATTCAGCTATCATCTGTAATTCTATAAAATGCTCAAGATTTTTCCCAAATGGTCTTTGTGGTCTAAGGCTGGCTGTAGGTGACATTATTCAGGCAAGCGTTTTTTATGTGGACATATGCAACTTACAAAGAATTATTGGTAAACAAATAAAACCCTTGCATATAGAAAGAGAGGAAATGGCCTCAAGTTGCACCAAGGGAGGTTTAGACTGGATATTAGGAAAAACTTCTTCACCAAAAAGGTAGTCAAGCATTGGAACAGGCTTCCCAGGGAGATGATGGAGTCATCATCCCTGGTGGTATTTAAAAGATGGTTAGATGAGGAGCTTAGGAACATGATTTAGAGGTGGAATTGGTAGTGTTAGGTTTAAGATTGGACTCAGTGATCTTAAAGGTCTTTTCCAACTACTACGATTCTGTGTGGTATACCTTTCTTCACCAATATGTTGATAAAAAGACTTTGGAAGGTTGTACAGAAACATCTTTCAAGATACATGGATATCTAAGGTGGTGCTACAGTGGAGTTGGTACTATCATGAAAGCACTGGATATGAGATCTGAAACATACAGACCACAACTGGATTCTGTCATGAATTTTTCCTTAGATTAAGTTTTATTAGAAAGAAGAAAAAATTTAACTATATCTTTTTTTTTTTTTTTTTTAATTGCTAGGCCCCAGCCTGTACTATATTTCATTGCCCTCAAACAGCACCAAAAGATTAACTTGCAGATATAATGGGAACTATCAGGTAATATTAGGATGCTTTTTTTCTGAAAGAATAGTGATAAATTTTCACAGTTGGCTTATCAGAAAGAGCTCTTTAGGGATAGGTTTGGATGACCTTTTCATACAGAGAAAGAAAAAAAAAAAAAGAGTTACATATGCTCACATCAGTAGGAATGTTACAGGCTATCTACTATACTTCATGCTAGAAGGGTTTAACTTGGAATGGCAAATTAATAAGTAATAGCAAGATCATACCTAGCAGTTACTGGTTCTCCTCTCAGGTAAATCTGTGTTAAAAGTTCAGAAAATTCCTGTTCTCTTACACCTAGTAATTTTTTGCGTGTCCCTGTCTGACATGTCTTTACACTTAAAAAACTGGTCTCAAAATAACTGTTTTAAGTTGAATCATGAAATAAGTTTAAAAACAAAAAAGCTATTGAGAAGAGTGTAGCCTCTTGTAGGATACAGTGGAGTGTCAAGGCTTTTTTTTAAAGCCTAAAAAAAAAACATTTAGGTTGTTTATTCGAAGAGTTTTTTAATTATTTAGTTAAATTTCTGAAAACAAATAATATTGAAGTAGTCTATAACCTTTCCTAGAATGTTAGTTAGTGCCAGGTGGAGAAAGACAGTACAGTAAGGAATACCCTTTTCCTCCACTCGCATCTTCTCCTGATAAAGGAATTTCTATTTGATCTTTTTCTTGTGAAAACAGACTTATGCACCATTTCTATTGCCAATACAGCATTCAGAAATCATGTAATCAAGAATCTTCTACCCTCCAAAGTCACAAACAGGCTTTAAAATATATATTTTTAAAAACAAATTTTAAAGTTATTTCCTTTTTAGATTTTATGAGTCATATTTTCAGGACTTTTCCACAACCACGATGACTAGACACAGAATCTCAAATAATCACCAGGCTCCCAAGAGCTGGGGAGTTAAGGGTGCTACAATATATTGCAGTATTTGTAATATCTCAGAAGGGTTAACAACACTGGTAGTATCTTCCCAGGGATTTAGCTGACATTGCCTCTAGCTGGTGGTTGGATTTAAAAATGTAAAGAGATTATAAAGATGACTTTCCCTAATGCAAACAGAGTCTGAAACAAGAAAAACATAGCTCCTAGAAGACTTGGTCTGGTTTGGCTGCTTTCCTTTGGGTCCTTCAGTACATTTATAGAAGTTTTGTCTGCAAAACTGAAGCATGGAGTGAACTCCCAATTTGAAAAAAAAATAAAGCTAGAGCAGTGCCTAAAAAGTGGCACTTCCATCATAAAATTTTGGAACATATGTAAACTTACTTTCTTCCGACGAGCTTCCGCAGCATATTGATCCACTCTATGTACTTTTCGTCGTCTTTTCTCTGGAGCTGCAACTGGTCTTTCCTGTCTCCTCTTAGGAGGAAGCTTTCTCTTAGGTCTCTTAGGCGGAGTAAGAGGGGAGCCATAACTACTCTCCTGTACTGGCGGGGAGAGATGTCTGGACTCAGAAAAAAAGCCTGTCTTCGGCTCACATCAGATGTTTGTGCTAGCTAATTCTGAAGCATAAATACTGTGGCGTTTTCAAAAATTCAGGCATTTGGACAATTTAGGATCTGTCTGTCTTTAAGGAGGAATCCATCAAATTGTACTGAAAGCAGAACAGCAGTTACAAGAGCAGACAGCATAAAAGCAAATTAAATTAGTGTTTCAGAAGATAGATTGGGTTTCTCATTTTGAAAATATATAGTTATGGGGTGGTGGGAGGGGGGGAATTTATTGGTCAAATATTAATCCATTTATACTATCAAAATTTACATAAAATTAATATCAGTTTAAGTAAAAGTAATTGTATATAATTTAATGAGTGCCTGGGGTAGACTGCTGGTGGAAATGCAACATCTCACTTGGATGATGGTTCAGGTATGAGTACTAGAGCCTGTCCAGTCCAAATGGCTTTCTACAAGGTTTCCCACACACACTTTTTGACTAAGAATCAGTGACAGTAGGTACCCTCATCAGTATCATTAACAGGTGCCGCCATCGTGTGCCAGGCCATGCACACCACTGAAATCACCAGAACCCCACTAGCCACTATATGGGGGCTGCAGGACAAAGCTACAAGGGTGAAACTCAGCATAGAGCTTGTATCCTTTGAATCAAGGGATTGAGAATTGAGAATTTCCTAGCACTTTCAGTGTGGCACCTTACTGGGTAATGTTATTCATAAGTGCACAGATACCTGGGATAGACATATAGAAGGGAAAAAAAAATTAAGACATAACTGGAAAAAGCAACTATCTCATTAATCAGTTTGCTCATAATTTTAAACTGTACCACTCTGACTTTAACACAAGTTGCAGGCTCTTGGCACTGCTCAGGATTGTGTGTGAAGCAATGACAGATTTCGCCTACTGGGAGATAGTAACTGCAATATCCTGCGTAAAATGGAGCATGCTGAGTGGGCTTGAGAAGAGTCGGAGATTTACGATGATATTTTACTTCTATGTACACTTAGGCAGCTTCTCACAGTTGTTCAGTTACAGAGCTATGTAAACAGGGAAGGGAAGGAAGGGGATGTTACCATCTGCCATGCTGTTTCATTGCTTCCAAGGCAAGCAGCTGGAAAGGAGATTCTAGTCCAGTCTCATTCGTCTCTCTCCAGAAAGGCATTTTAATAAAGCAGCACCAGAGTTTTCTGTTTTTAAAACGCTTCAAGCTTTGTGCAGTCCTGATGAGAGGAGCGGCAAGGAAAGGAAGGATTCTCGTTTTACTGTCTCTGAATTGGCTCAGACAGAGCTCCACAATGCCAGAAACACGCGAGCGCAGGAGACCCAGGTCTGAACACTGAAAATAGCTGTCTCAAGACAGCATGTTAGAGGAGCAGCAGGAACGGCTTAGCAGTGCCAGGTTTCGATCTGTTTTAGAGCTCTTATGGTAGTATACTTCTACAATATTTTATTTTCAAAATAAAGTTAGCTAGGAGGGGGAAAAAAAAAAAAGCCAAGTTCTTATTAACCAGCCAAATCTTAGTCTTGCTTGAGAAGAATCAGAACAGAGTTATGGAGGAGGAAAACAAATCTCTCCCCACTTACAGAGGGGAACTGGAACATCACAAGGGTAACCAGCCAGCCAAAGCTCTGCTTCTTGACCTGGAGGGAACAACCTACCAGAGTTGGTAGCAGAAGCACAGAGGGAAAGAAAAAAAAAATGCAGAAGTAAATCAAGAGCAAGCATGTATTTGATAACTCCTGGAAATGTAGTGGAACGCTCTAAAATACTTCCTAAGAAGTATTATTCATCTCCCACCAAAAAAAAACCCAAACAAAAAAACAAACCCAAAACCAAAAAAAACCCTCCAAAATCTAGACAACTAACTCATTTACATTGAAATTCATAATTTTAGAAGAAATGTAAAGTTACATGAGTGGACACTGGCCATAATCTGTATTCCATTTATATCAGCAACATTGGCAACTCACTAATCAAGGTAAAGTGCATCTAAGTCCCTTTATTTCTAGCTTTTAAGACTCTGTACATAAGCTGTTTTGCACATCCTGTGAAGCTCTGAGTGCCATCCACTGAAGTCTAGAAGCTGAAAATTATCAGTCATGGACCTTTAGACCTTAAAGATAAAACATTTAAAATACATTTAAAACACTATTTGGCATAAGAAGCTCTAGTAAACACCCACTTTGTCCACCCTAATGGACGTTTGTAGGATTTGGAGGTTTTCAAGGTGTATTCCTCAAACTACAAAATGCAGCAAGAAAAACTCAACATAAAATCTTCACTCTTCAAAAGAAGAAACAAGAAGTCCATCTTAAATATATCACACAATTGTTAAGAGCCTATTTTCAGATATTGTTGTTTGGCTGATCTGCCTTTGCATGAAGAAAAATGAAGTGGTCAGAACTACTCCAACTGTCTAACCGCTGCCAGCTGTATACAAGAAAAGAATGATTTCACGGGCATGTGCTCTCGGTATCAAGGAAGCAGTTGAAAAGGATCCCTTTGAGGACTTTCTTCCCAGTTGATTTATGTAAATTTCATAGCTCCTAAAAATTATATTGAAAACGGTGTCAATAGAGACAATATAAAATACTTCCTAGTTTTTCTATCCTGAAACCAGGCCCCTAGCAAATCTCAGCATCTGTATACTTGCACAGCTGTATTCATTTATTTAAATTTCCATTCACAAAGTTATGGCCACTGTTTGAACTGGAAACTCATACATGCTCATCTGCTAACTCGTCTGTTCTTAATTTGCTAAAAATCAATGGCATAAATAAATTTATTTGTAAAACTTTAATAAGCTTTTAATTCACACTTATTAAGAGCCTAAGCTTTGCCTTGCAATTAGAGGTCAACCTTCAGATAACCATCCAGAAGAACCCCCAAATAATAAAAGCCTTTGGGAGCTTTTTGCTTTTTTAATAATTTTTCCTACAATGATACAATTATGCTTCACTTTTTAGACCCTTATAATTAATCTGAAAACTAGATTACCACACTGGATGTTAAACCAGTTTGTTAAATACTACAATTTAAAGAACAAATTCAAGGTCATCATCTTCATATTCTCCTTTAAGTCCATGGAAAGAGCCCCACAACTCTGTTCAGAAGGAAGTGATTGTCTACAGATAAATAAAATTAAGAGTTGTGAGTCATAAGTCACACATAATATTTGTATTCCTTCCATAAGAGGTACTCTGAAGCATCATTGAGCAACATAGCCTTGAATCAGAGAGTTCTCATTACCAATACCTTGCTTGACTGAGTCAGACATCTCTCCCATTCTGAGCCAAATGACAACATGGAGACATATCAATGCCTGTCAATTTAGCAAGAGTGTTGGCAGATTTTAACCACCACTTATCCAGAAAAAGGACTACTTCTTCCTATCTAGTATGGTGTTCCAGTGCTGGTTTGGAATAATTCCTCATACACGCTGCTCTGGGACCATGGCTCAAACTGATCCAACAGGAATGCTACCCACAGCAACTTCATAATCGCTGAAAACTTATTTAAACAGCCCAAATAACATAAGCATATTAAAAAAGATTAATGCTGCTTCTTTTTGCTCTCTTCTCCAGTAGTGAACAGCTATCTGATATATATACCAAACAAATAAGAAACAACTGCTGGGTACCTCGCTGCTCAAGGAGCTTTGTATTACCTTCCAAAGGGTAGGTACCTGATACACTCCTCAGCTTTCAAAGATTTGCAAACACTTGCTTACTCTTTAAAAAGCATGTGGATAGCAACCTGCAGGCATACATTTGCACTGAAACTAGAGGATCTCTGCCAGATGTCAGACATCATTGGAGATGCCAGATCCCAGCCACCCGAAGTACTAGGATATTTGGGTGTAGAATTTACTTTTTGCCTCCCCACAAATCCCAGTGCACAGTCTTTAAGTTCTTGTCACCTGGACAGTGTTGGCAGGGAAGCAGTACTCATCAGTCCCAGCCAGCTACCCAAAGCTCAAACAAGGGGTTAAACTTCTGTGGAGTTTTGCACATAATTTTTCATTAAAATACCTTCCAGTGCTTCAAAACTTTTTCCAAACTCAACAGCCCAGTCCTGAGGGAACAGTACTGGCAAAGCTTTCTGAACCCCTGTAGGGCCTATATGAAACTGGAAATAGCAGCTTTTTACAGCTCATGACAGACTGGAATTATTGCTTTGGCTACTGCAGGCTGTCAGCTTTAAAGGAAGCTTTTTCTTCTCTGCATTTTTCCTCAATATTTTCTGCATTATATTTTTATTACTTTTAAGAAGGATAAATTGTTTGAGGAAAGTTAAATTATGCTGTTGCACCCAAGTATACTCTTGTCTTTGCCAAATAAATATTTCCATTTGCATTATCATATCACACAGAGAAATAGCATCCTGAAAGGTACAGGCAGTTCCTTCTCTCAGAAGTGAATCTCACATGATAAATCCTTATGACAGTAACTTTGCCTTCTTTGGCAGAGGAGAAGCATTCTGCAGAAACGGGTGAAAAATAGTTGCTAAAAACATTACTCCTGAGCAGTGTCAATTATTCCAAAACTGTATTTGAACCCTGTGCATTTTCTGCAGAAGAAAATCTATACTAACCTCCGAGTTGAAAGGACCATATCTGTGGCCAGCAGCATCTGGTTGTTCAGAGTAGAAAGCATAAACATAAGGCCTGAAAGAAAGAAAGAAAGAAAGGTCTTGTTCAGGGGAGCTTTCCTTCAACAACAAGAAAAAACCCCAGACCTGTTAGGTCAAGTCAAATCAAGTCAACCTTCCAATGAGAGCTGGCTTTATGGAAAAAGAACTGTTTCTCAGTCATATGTCTCCATGGTATGATTAAGCAATTAGTTGTTCTACAGTTTTATTAAACCAAGAACACATGCAGGGAGGCACATGGGGCACCATCTGAGGACACATGCTCTAAGTCTGGTAGGAGAGATCACAACAGCAGCTCTGCTGGGCTTTGCAGCCAGCAGCATGTAAGAACTTGTGTACTAAAAAATTTTCATAATTAAAATCTTAACATTTTCCCAGTCCTCAGGGTCCAGTTCTGCAACTGCTGTTGACTGTAAGGTTGTTAAACTATATTAGACTCAGCAGGATAAGAACAATCCAAGTTAATCCATATAAATAAACGCTTCTTGATAAGAAATAAATTCATACCATACACTTATTGAGAGGAATCCGAATGCTGATGGTTAAAAACTGAGATTAAAACAAACAAACAAAAAAACCCCCTCCAAACACAAACCCCCAATAAACCCTTAAATCAGGGGTAGCATGTAACAGACAAAAATATTTTTTTCTAATTCAATTTCCCCTTTCTCTTCCAGCTACTTTTAGGGAGAAGACAAGCTAGCAGTTATCCAATAACAGATGACAATAAGTGAATTACCTTTCGTTGTCTGGAAGTGTTAGCCACTGCAGTATTGTTAATATTCTGCGCTCATGGGGGATGACACTGGATCACAAAATATAAAAATATATCTTATTATCATAGAATATAAAAAGCGTCAACAAAGCCTTGCTATGAACTGATTTTAACATGATTAAAATAAATCATAATGACATAATTGTCTTTATACGATGCTGTATCTTCTTTTTTGCTGTTGTCCACATACTCCAAAAGAAAGATGATTAAAAGTTTGTAACTGAAGTCAGAACTCAAGGTAGTAAACCTAACTGTTCTAAATAGGCATGAATAAAGATCCATTCTGGTAGCTTTAATCCAGATGAACCTTTTTTACACACAATGGTGCTGCCATTGGATAGCTGGCCTGTGTAAAAACCATTAAATTGCTCAGATCAGCACCAGTTTAAATGACCAGCCTGCTCTGGTCACCTTGAAGACACTGGAAAAGTTCCCTTTGACTTAATAGTAGCTGAACGGAGAGCTAGGCTGCTGTAAATCAAAACAAAGCCATCTGAAACACCAGGCCATCAGCACGGTGACTTGCACAACTTCGACAGCTTCTCACTCTGCAGAACAGACTCATCCCATTTCACTGTTTGTATTCTGAGAATTCTCACTTGGCTGCTGAGGCCAAGTTCATGCTCTGAGAATGACTAACCTTATAAACAGCTGTTAAACTTCCAAATATCTCATCTTAGGAAAGATCTGCAAGTCAATGACCACGCAGTTTTTTTAATACAATAGCATAGTCAGTCCAGATTCCACTAAATCAATAGCAGAATCCCAAGGAAGGAATCAAATATAACTGTCTTGGATTCACCATGCTGAATTGAATTCAGCTCTCTTTGGAAATGTCTGACAGAGAAACAGAGACGCCAATAGCCATTTTGAAATAAGTTAGCTTTTAATGCCTTGTAGAAGAACAGTTGTCCTCAGTCTCCAACTACACAGAGAACTTCTGGTTGTAAAACAACTATAAAAATGAGAATTTATGCAAAAAGTTGCAAATGAGGCAATATCATAAGGTAGAATAATAATATTGGGTATTGGCCAGTTTTGAAATTTTCATTAATTGTGCAATATTAAAAAAATCTATTATTTCAATTAAGTCATTTGTGACTAAGATGTTTTTAACACTTCTGTTTTCCTAAAAGAGTTTGCCTGAAAATCCTTCCAAAAAACACTCTGTGTCTCAAATTAAGTAATATAGTTTTAAGGCATATATATTTCACTCATACATAAAATGGCTGTCTCATTCCCTTCCTATTGCCATTCATATGACATACGCTTGGTTACCTTCCATAACATTTTATATCCCCAAGCATACATTGGCCAGGGTGTTTATGGTGAGTGTGAAGTTGTAGGTCTTAATAAAGAATTAAATCACATTAATTTCTTTGTTTTGTAGAGGACCAGACTGGAGCTCTGTCAGACAACCAACTATCTTACAAGCCTAAAACCTGCCATCAGCTTTGTATGTTTTACATTCAATTATTCCCTCTATATGATATTCGTAGCAAGAAAGAGTATTATTTCTAATGGAATCACAGAAAATAGGCATATCCCCTTTGTACTTCAGTCTTGACAGTTTGCCCATTTTCTTTGCTCCTGCAATCCTGCCCCTAAAATGGAACATAGAGACTGACCCACATGCATTCCTCAGAACTCAGAAATTATCAAAATTCATTCATTGTCAGTTAGGAAGATATATCTTAGCTGGGACAAGGGAAACTATTTTGGAACCATTAAACAAAAAAATAAACAGCAAAGATCCTCAGGGCTGATTTGGAGAAAAGGGAAACTGGATATCTTACTCAAAGGTTAGACTGGATTGTAAAATGAATAAGTCAGGCTTTTGAGTCAATTAGGTTTTTGATGTCAGGTGACGTAAGAGGACAATGAAAAACTCTTCCACAAACACTCAGAGGACTAGGAAACATTGCTAGCAATACCAAGGAGGCAAAATAACACACCGTGAAATGAAAGAAAGTAATTTTCTACATAGGCACGGGTCTTTTCTTCAGACAACTGTCAAAAATCAGTGTATGAACTTCAGGCAACAAACTGTAGCACTGGTTTTATTTGTTAGAAACACTGCACAAATGAAACAAGGGAGGATTTCAGGTACAGTCTCCAAGCCACTGAATGCTTAGAGTAAAGAAAATGACTTAATAAACACTTGCATCAAATTAATTCTGAATTATTAGTTACAAATCTCCAGAAAACAAGGGGCACTTACACAGACCAGAAGAACGTGCCAGCTTTCACTCCTTGCTTAGCTGCAGTAATCCAAATCTAATGAGGAAAATATAAGAGGATTAGAATGTGGTCAGATCTCTAATGACCCTCTGAAATCAAAAGAAAATGTTTTCAAAGCACATTCTTCTACCCTGAGCCTAAAAGGGAAAATTGCAGCCTTCAGCCTGTGTCCTTAATTTGAACACGTGGAGTGACAAACCGATGAAAACTCTGCAGCAGTGGATCAGCTGCAGTGCTATAGACTTTCACCTCTAAATCTTGCTTTTAAGGCAAAGCATTAAGGTTCATGGCCAGGAATTTCCCCAACATTCCACTTAATTGTCAAAAACCAGCCATTACTTCCCTGAGGCTTTTAGTGTGCAGGTTCTGGAGGATACTCAGTGAGGAAAGAACATGGCTTAACACTAATCAGTGTCTGCATAGATGTCCCTCTTTTTGTCAGAAGCCTTTCTACCATCAATAGAAAATTCATTAGGAAAGAGTAAACAAAAAGGGTGCAGGGGTATAAAGAAAGCAGAGAGGGACACCCTCCTCCATAGATGTTTAAGAACATTTTGAGCTCACCCGAAGCGGTGATTGATGGAAAAGACAGAAATAATCTCCATGAATTTTTCAAATCCTTTTTTCAGTCCTTCAAATCCCATATATTGTTCAGGCTATAAATCAGTTTGTAGCAGCAAGTTTCACAGTGTAGCCACACACTGCATGAGTGTATTTTTCTTTTCCTTTGGTTTAAACCTGCCAGTTTCACTGGGGTTAGGGTACTGTTCTCATACTTTGAAAACACGTTATTAATCCTTTCGCTTCCCACTTCTATACAACATAATATTCCCCTGTATTTATTTATTTTTGAGCATGAGCAGCCTTGGTTTGTTTGATCTTTCTCTAATGAAAGCCATACCATCAGTTATCCTCATTACCCTTCTCTCTCTCTCTCCATTCACCCTCTTTCTCTTTTCTATTCTGTGAGTATCTATACAAGGCAAGGGAATGAAAATGACCAAATGGCAGAAAGGTCCACAATCAAGGAAAGCAAAGAATATGAGTTTGTAGTCCTACAGAACTAAATTTCACCTGCAAGGAACTATCCAAATTATCTCAAAACTCATTTCAATAGTGGCAATGGCTTAAAGGCCAGCACTGTATACAAATAGATTATTTCTTCTCTTTATTTATGCATACTGCAATTTATCAATTTCACAAGCAGCCAACGCAAAATATAGTTATCTTAATGATTGCAAAACCTTTGGTTTACTTCAAATCAACTTTTTGAAAATACATTCAAGGCCCCTCTATCTTACTCAAACAGGCATTAATAAACTGTCATCTGGGCATGCATTACTCAAATGTCATGCCTGAATTATTCATGCGTCAGTCTTAATTGAAGTAAATTTGGCATAGTCTGATGAAATATCACTTGCACACCGAGGCTATAGTTAACAGCAATTAGATTTTGATATTGTTATGTTATTTATGGTAAAACTGGTCATCTTTGCCTTTCCAGTGCCATGGACACACCCCTTAACTTATTTCTCACCTGCTACTTTTCCAGATCTTACTGGACTCAATCCAGCTAAATTAAAATCACAGCTATGAAAGATCATTTGTTTTCATTGTATTGTAAGTTTTTGGTAATGTATCCTCTTTTCCAGGGAAGGATACATCCATGGTAACTCTATAGAAATGGTGGTTTACTAAATAAATGTAGCAAGAGTGGGAGCAGAATGGCCACAGATTTGCAGCCCACCCTTCTCTGTTTTCAGGTGCTTCTCCTCAAGAGTCTGATTTTGGGGTTAGTTCATATGCTCAAGCAAATGTGGTCATCAAATGGGGAGTCCCCCAAGCATCTCCCCCAACCTCTGCAGCTCCAGCCTTCTACCAGCACTGGGGTTTGCATGGTGACGACTACAAGATGATGTGGCTGCAAAGTAACTCCCTCAAAAAAAGAAAAGAATGGCTTTGAATTTATGTTGGAATTTGGTTTTGAATTGTTGAATGAAAGGGATATTGTTTTGAAATGCTCGCAGAATACTAACCCTAACAGGATGGGACAAAGGATGCAGGTAAACAGGAGAGATGAGGAAGTGTGCTTACTATCCACTGATCATGTTACTGAGCCTATTTGTTGCAGTCAGAGGTGTGACTGCAATGCAAGGGTGCATCCACGACCTCAATTGTGTCATATAAATCAGCACAGGGTATATAACATCAGCCTGGACCCTGTGTCTAACTAAGGCAGGAGCTATTCCATATTCATTAGTGGTTTGTGGGCTTCCCAGGTGGAAAAAGGCCCACACTTAAAGCAATTACATTTTTCTTTGCACTGCAGAGTTATTCCTAGAGCAGAACTCCATCATTGACCAACCTTGTTGACTT